GAGCCCGAAAAAACCACAACAATCATGTATACTCACTGCTTTACATAGTAGCCAAGTGTCATTTCTTCAGTGTTGTCACATGAAAAGATATACTAAAATATTTATGAAAAGTGAGGGGGTGTACTCACTTCTGTGATATACTATATACTAAACACAGCCAGAAAAGTAGAAAAGTGGGTGCTCAATCAGGTGAGTGCCTGAACTCTCACCTAAGCGAAAATCAGTACCCTGAGCCTATCCTACCAAGCACATGTAACAGAAATACAGAAGTGACCAGCATAGACTATATTACTTGGAAAATGAGATGAACCAGTAGACAAAGAGAAATGTCTAATATGAGAAGGACTGAATCAGTAAAGAAACCACAGTTGTTAGTTTGCAAGATCTGAGCAGAACCTAATGGAAAAGGCAATATTGCTGGGTAGTGGGGTAGTAGGGTGGGGACAACAGGAAAAGAGAACAACTTAATATGTGATACTGTTGGTTTGCAAGATCTGAGGAGAGCCCTTAATGAGAGGATGATTTGGAAATTGGTGTATAGAATGAGAAAGTTGGGGAAAAGGGGGTTTCTACTTCCCTTCTGTTTTCCTAACCTTTATCTCAATGTTCTCCCCTTAGGCTGCAGCTGCTGTTGCTGCCATCTCCTTACTTGTGAATGAACCAGGTAAACCAAGTAATCTTACTCACAAGTAAACTAGGTAAAACTTGCTTAGAATCATAGACTAGTTGGAAGGGGCCTAAAATGCCATAAAGACCAACCCCCTCCTCAATGCAGGAATATAAATCAAAGGATATTTGCCAGGTGGTTGTCTGCGTTTCTCTTGAATGCCTCCAGTGTTGGAGAATTCAGCATCTCTCGAGGTAATTGGTTCCACTGTCACACTATTCTTAACAGTTAGGATTTTTCCCCTGATATTTAATAAAAATTTGGCTTCCTTTAACTTGAGCCAATTGTTGCGTGTCCTGCACTCTGGGATGATCGAGAACAGATCCTGCCCCTCCTCTGTATGACAGCCTTTCAAATATTTCAAAAGTGCTATCAGATCACCCCTGTCTTCTTTTCTCAAGGCTAAACATGCCCAATTCTTTCAGCCTTTCCTCATAAGGTTTGGTTTCCAGCCCCCTGATAATCCTTGCTGCCCTCCTCTGAACTTGTTCCAAATTATCAGAATCCTTCTTGAAGTGAGGTGTCCAGAACCGGACACAAGACACAAGGTGAGTGTGATTATATGTGTTTTTATGTGTATTAGAATGGGATATGTAGTCCTAAGATTGTCCCAATAGCATCCATCTTGATTTAAAGTCTGTTCTGTAGTAGGAAAGTTTTTCATGCTGTTTCAGAGAAGCTTCGCTCTCTGATTATCTCGTTGCTAAGATGAGTAGAGAGCAGAGACTTTCGTAGTCAAAATAATTCTGCCACAAAACTTGATANNAGTTGGACTGAGAAAGGTCAGACACGTGCTTTTTCCCATAATGGTTTGTAGCTTTGCTATGGACTATTTTTCCTACCATGGACTGATTGAAGTCAACTGGATTTCATCTAGCATCAGCCTATGAAGACCCAAGACACGTGAGATGGACTGTGTTATGCTTTTTATTAGTTAGCATAATTCTATTTCTTTATTTTTCCAGCTGGAGTGGGGAGGGGAGTATTCCGTTTGTCTTGATATGAAAATGTACCTACTGAACTATTTTACTATCAACTGAAACCTTTTCTAAAGCAATTCTTTTCAATAAAGCAGTAATGATTTGATCTGCATGCATTGGTTCTTGGACAGACTAGCTGAATGTCTAATTGGCCATGTGTGTTTGCTACCAAAGATTTAGAGCCAGATTATTCTGAGTAATACTCATGGATTTATCTGTGTGTGTTGCTTTCTTACTAAAGGAGATTGGCTCTTGAGGAAGAAGTTTAGACAGGACCTTGCTGAGACCTAAGTGGCTCTGCTCAGCAGTCAGAGGTTTGTCTGGATTTCGGACTCATCCCAGTCTCTGGCACCCCCATAAATCTCTTTGGAGATAAGGGGCTGCTTACAGTGAGGCCAAACCAATGCTGAATAGAGCAGGACTAGCTCCTTGTGGGATTTCAAAACTATACTTCTATTAATGCAGCTTAAAATAGCATTGGCCTTTTTGTAGCCACATCACATTGTTGGCTCATATTCAGCTTGTGATCTACGACAATTCCAAGATCCTCCTCACTTGTAGTATTGCTGAGACAGGGATTTCCCATCATAGGGCATTTGGTTTCTTTTTCCAGTGCAGTACTTTGCACTTATCCCTGTTCAATTTCATTCTATTATTTTCAGCCCAGTGCTCCAGCATATCAAGATAACTTTGAATTTTGTTTCTGTCTTCTACGCTAGTAGCTATTCCGCCCAATTTGGTATCATCTGCAAATCTGAAAAGTATTCCCTCCACTCCCTCATCCAGGGCATTAATAAAAATATTGAAGAGCACCAGGCTCAGGACTGAGCCTTGGGATACCCCACTTACTACCTCCTCCCAGTTAGAGAAGGATCCATTAATAATCACCCTCAGAATATGATTCTGTAGCCAATTGTGTATCCACCTAATGCTTGATCTATCCAGCCCATATCTAGTTAGCTTGCTAATCAGGATATCATGGGGCACTTTGTCAAATGGTTTGTTGAAGTCAAGATATACTATGTCTGCAGCATTCCCTCTGTTTGTGAGGGAGGTTACCTGATCAAAAATTAAGATCAAATTAGTTTGGCAGGATTTGTTCTTGACAAATCCGTGTTGACTTCTAGTTATTACTGCATTGTTTTCTAGGTGCTTTCACAATGACCCTTTTACGATCTGTCCCAGAATTTTGCCTGGGACTGATGTCACATTGACTGGCCTGTAATTTCCAGGTTCCTCTTTTTTGCCCTTTTTGTAGATAGGGATAACATTGGCCCTCCTCCAGTCCTCTGGCACCTCCGCCATTTCCCATGATTTCTTCAGCCAGTTCCTTCAGTACTCTCAGATGCAGTTCATCCGGCTCTGGACATCTCAACTCGTTCAAGGTGGTAAGGTATTCCTCGACTGTATGTTTATCAATCTCCAGCTGCAATCCTTTCCCCTCCACTTGCACTTCACATTTGTCTAGTAGTTCATAGTCTGTCCTTTGGGAAAAGACTGAGCTAAAATAGAAATTAAGCACCTCTGCCTTTTCTTTGTCATTTGCTATCATTTTTCCATTTACACTGAGTATCTGAGCCACTGTTTCTTTTCTTTTTCTTTTGCTGCACACATACCTGAATAATGCTTTTTATTGCTTTTAGTGCCTGTAGCTAATTTCAGTTCATTCTCAATTTTTTGTTCTCTTAATGCCATCCCTGCATTTCCTTGTTACTTGTCTGTACTCTTCCTTGGTGACCTGGCTTTCTTTTCACTTCCTATACATGTCTTTTTTGTTTGTTTGTTTTTAGGTCCTCCCTGAGCTTTTTATGAAGTTGCACTAGCCTTTTTGCTGCCTCCCACCTGTTTTTCTTTTTGGAATGATTTGTACTTGTCCTTTTAGAAATTACATAGTTTAAATGAGTGAGATGTTAAATATTGTTATGTATTTTTAAAAATATCTTTTAAAATATTTTCACAGGTTTGTGAAAAAGGTTTGGCCAGAAGGAGTTAAATGCTTTTTTTCACATTGAATGCCATGGTAGGGTTTAAAGTGTCAGACCTATGACACGTGCCCTATATAACTGCCTGGCTGACTCTAGACACAATCTGATTGGTCAGAACGTTGTGCTATGTGACTTCTTTAGAATGTTACAAGTTTTTAAAAAGCCAGCAAATTCAGAGCTGTTCAGGTTTCAAAGCACCAATTAAAAAGTGTGATTTAGAGGCATGAATGGCTCAGTTATTGTGAACAACAAAAAAGTGGCTAACACAGACTCTTTTCCCAAGTAAGTATTTTTTTTTAAAAAACCCAATTGTGACAATCGGCCCACGTCACTCATGGCATTCATAGTCATGAGCTGATTTGCACAAGCCTATGAGAGGACTGGAGAGGCGGAGTGATTAGCTACATGAGGTTTGGTGGGAGAAGAAGTCAGATAGAGATTGGGATGAGATCCAGAGAGAGGTAAGGGCTGGTTAGTTAGAGATGGAGGGAACAATGTGATAAGGCTGGTTAAGAAAATAGGTAGAGAAGGCGGTAATGATTTTGCAAGAGAAAAGTATGTGCTGAGAGAACTGTTAATGATTTGCTTGTGTACAATGTTTATCGGAATAACTTCTATTATTAAATCTGCTTCACTTCAATAAATAAGTTATGTTTGTATTCACAAGACAGGTGTTCTGACAAACGTCATTTATATTGTGGACTGTGGACTGTTGGCAGCAAGAGGAAAACGCAATGTGAACCTTTGTGAGGGCAAAACACGCAGGTGCCACAAGGGTGAATGCCACACCAATGTATTTCATATGTTTTCAGTTGGCTGGAGATTTCTGGTCACCTGTTTCTTCACTGGGTAAAAACAGTGTTACTCTTTAAAAAATTCACAACTCAAAAGTCCTTTGGTGAAACATCCCCAAATTTGGCAAGAGTAAGAGAAGACATTCTGCTACATCTGTGCTAAATTTGGTGCTGATCTTAGCTCCTGTTTCCTAGTTATATGTTTTTGTCTGGGGCATCCTATTTTTTCCTTTTGGCTTATGTAATGCTGTGTGGTGCTGGCAGCACAATATATGGCTCTATGCTTTTGCAGCCATAATTCATTCCCATTCTGAGGGCCTTTGCTACTGGAGTCTCCTTATAGTGAAATTCTATATCAAGAAGGGAGACCACCTAGCCTTATGGTGTTTCTTGCCCACCATACAATATCCATGCTTCTGGCTTCTCTGGAGTAGAAAACATGTGTGATATAAATTTCAGCATTCTTTGCAACAATATATTAGGACTGACCTCTTCTCCCCTTACAGAAATTGGAATATGACTCAGTGACTAACACAGAAGCAGCACTAGGCAAATGAATTGAAAACAGCCTTACCAAGTAGTTGAACTTTGTTTTCTGGGCTCTGAACAAGAACAGAGCTCACAGAATCCAGGTTGTCATAGTTACTGCAGCCAAGTGGCCCTGTCCTGGTTTCAGTAACCTAAGCAAGAGAAAAGTACACTTTTATTATAAACATGGGAAGGGAAAGCATGCTCATTGCCCTTCCACAAGTCATGCTGTGATAGCTGGAAGGGCCCAGTACCACCACTACTGCCTCAGAAGGTACCATTCTGGCCCTAATCCTCAAGTTCTTGCCCAGCTGGCTTTTATGGGGAAAACTCGTCTTCTCAATAGTATACTCTTTCCGTCATACTGGGATGAAACTCCTCCCTCATGGATGCTCCTTTCTTCCCTTGCCCCAGGTAATTCTCTATAGGAATTCCTTTGGGCAGATAGGTAGGATCTAAGTGGCTATCTTGCTCTGACCCAAAGAGGTCAGACAACATGAGGCCCTTTCAACATGTTCAGCTTTTGCCAAGAGAAGAGCTTGGGCAATGGTATAAAATGATGGGAGCATTTGTTTGAAAACATCTGAAGAGTCACCAGTAGACATGGGGACGAATAAAGAAATGAAATATCTCTGATTCTTGAGATATTCTTCCCTTCGTATTCACCAAGTCTGGAGACCGTGATAAATTTGAAGGGATGAATATTTACCCATTTTTATTCATTCCTTCATGAAGGCTGGCTGAGGAATGGAAACAGAGTTTGCCTTCCCACAGCCAGTCTGCTTGTTAGGCTGAAGCCAGTTTCCCTTCTGCAGCCAGTTTGTTTCTCAATATCTTGTTGATCAGCTGATGGTCAAGTCACTGACAAGCAGGTTGGCTGCAGGAACTGAAATCAGGATTTGCCTTCCCACAGACAGCTTGCATGTCAATGTCCAGCCGATCAACTCTTTGGGAGGACATTGTGTTTTAACAACAAATTGATGAAAATGTGTTGATTTGTTGCCAAAATTTGGTGCTTAATCACTTCATCCCTTTGTTGAGGGATGAATCCCAATGAAGCACATTTTTCTGATTCATTCCCATCTCTAGTCACCAGTTGTCACTGTTTGTACTGCTCAGATCTCCCTCTTCTCTTTATCCAAGGAGGTTGTTAGGAGGTATCAATAAACCAGAACAAAGACTCCTAAAGTAGATGGCTTCATTTCTAGTTCCATTGTGACTTAAATATACTATAGAGGATTTTCAACCTTGCTGCCAGTCTTCACTCAATCCCACAGAAACAAGTTCCCTAAAAAAAAAACCCTGAAGAAAGAAGACCTGTGTCTTTCTCATTTCCCTTCCACCACCACCTTCATTCACCAGCTCATTTCTTCTGTTTACTACTTCAATTTTTGCCACAATCATTTGTGAGAGGCCAAAGGTTTCAGCGGAAATCAAATAGGACAATAAAATATTCCTTTGTAAAATTGGACAGGCAACATGATATTTTTGCAGTCCAAACTTTGGGATTCCTGGGAGAAATGGGCTAGAAGGCCAACATGTAATGTGCCATAAGGAAAACCAGACATTTCAAGTTAGAATGTGCTTCACTATGAAATAATCCTGAAGTACATAGGGAGGCCCTTTTTCTATGGGTCCTTTGTCTGCTCTAAATTGTACTTTTAGAGTTTCTTTCCCCCGCCCTGAAAGTAGAAATGCAGTTGAAAGGGCAAGATGAAGTTGACTTCACATAGAAAAACCATCCTGTAGAAAAGAGGTTGAGCATCCTATGATGTTCTCATTAAAGTCAAAGCCTCCTCCCTATCCTTAAACTATATTGATATTTGTTTTTAACACCAACTTTAGAGAAACATTCCATTTTTTGCCCATTTTTGGTCCGCTTTTGATTCCTAATCTTTGAGTGTTATGTATAAATAACTCCTCTGTCTTGGTTGGCTAAGAGAAGCTAAATGCCCAGAGTACTTTGCCTATAATTAATATTCAGTTTTTCAAAAAACTTCCAGATTATGAATGTGAGTATTCACTACCACTCATACTTGTTGAAAAATCCCTGGCAATTGCCGGGAGGCGGGGCTTGGCACTGTGGTGTTCAGCAGCACTCGGGGGCAAGAGCTCCCGGGAAAAGCTGAAAACCGACCAGTCTAGAGACCCTTAGTGACAACAAGGGTCAGGAGGGGCCAGGAGAGGCTCTTCTGGGCTGTGAGTGTGCGTCGGAGGAAGGAAAGAGGGGCGGCGGCTAGTCTTTTTCTCCCTCTGAAGAGAATCACGAAGCAAGGACTGGAACAGGACGGCATCTTGGTGGTGATTAGCAGTGAGTAACCCCGATTTATCCCTGGGAAAAAGGGGAATGAAGAAATACAGTTAAAAACTGTTAACAATAAACAAAATTGAAGCCCTTAAGCTAAAATGAACTGGTAAAAAGATAAGGACCGAAAAGAGTATAGAAGCGGTGAATCTTGATTACCGGCTCTGCTGGCGTTCTATCTGAAAACGAAACTAAGCTTTTGGCAGACCGGTCCAAGGTCAAAGTCATAGCAAAGAAAATAAAGCTGTCCCTGGGAAAACTTCTTGATGAATTAAGCAATTGCGGACAGAGCTTGTGTTGATGTTATAAAGAATCTGACAGAGTTTTTAACAGCAGATTGAGTACCAGTTTTGGGACTATATCTTATCTTGGCGGGGGAGAAGCCCCCCTCCCTTGGAGGCTATGGCTGTAGACTGGAGGGAGCGATTGGAAAGCAGGATTGGAGCTGTGGATCGGATTTACAGTGGATTTACAGTGTCTTGGACAGACTTTGTATTGGATTATTTTAACAACACCTACTGGAAGAAAGCGGAATGCCAACGCCAACTTTAGTACATTTAATTGACTTTTTAAAAAATAAGCCTTTGGGATTAAGAACTTTGTAGTAAAAACGGAATTGTGAAAACATCGAGGTGGGGAAGGCAAGGTTTTTCTTTTTTTTTTTTTCTAGCTCCAACTTGGCTTTTGAAATAATACTGGGAATTGTGGAACATTGACTCTTATGCTTGTGGGATTGTACCTGGCTTGTATTTTTCCCTAGTACATTTAATTGTCTGGTAAAAAGCCCCTGGGATGCTAGAACTCTGTATTAAGAACGGAAATGTGAAAACATCGATGGCAAAGGCAGGGGATTGTTTTCTACCTTCAACTTGGCTTTTGGAATAATACTGGGAACCGTGGAATATTGATTCTTGTGTCTTCGGAATTCTGTCTAGCTTGGATTTCTCTTGATGGACTACATGGGCAACTTAAAAACAGTGGGTGAGTACAGCAATGATGTTAAGTCTCTGAATACGAAGGAACATGTATTAAGGTTGTAATTTAAAGTGCTAGTTTAAAAACTGACTCATATACTGTAATATTGGATAAAGATCTGAGGAAGGCCTAGGTGAGGTGGTTGATAGTAGGCTTGTACTTTGGTTGCATAGTGAACCATAATGGCTGCAAAGAAACCTAAACCCCAAACACCTGGAACCTCCCCTGCTCAAACATCAGCGCTAGGAAAACTAACTTCTCGGGAATCAGAAAAATCAGATAAAGAGTGGCAAAGCACTATGCAAAACCTATTGATTACAGGACTTCAACAAATAAATGAGCGTCTGACTCAAATAACAGACCAAATGAAGGAGATGAAGGCAGATTTGACGGAAACAAAGCAACAGGTAAAAGAAATTAAAACAAAAATACAAGACGTAGAAGAAAAAGTGAAAAGTACGGAGGCCAGGCTGGACAGAACTGAAGAAACAGTACGGCTGACACAGAGAAATCAAAGGCAATGTGTAGACAGGCTAATAATGCTGGAGATGGAGAAAGCAAATAAGATGTTAAGATTTCAAAATGTACCAGAAAAGGAAGGTGAAGATTTAGAGACATTAATGAGTGAAGCCTTGGCGCCAGAAATAGAGATGGATGTAGCGAAACTCCGCCAATGTCTGGAAGCATCCTTCAGAGTGAGTACAGCGTATGTTAGAAAAAATAAGTTACCCAAAGAAGTTCATCTGAGATTCACGAAGAAGACAATCAGAGATAAGATTTTAAGGGCGTCACAAGATAAACAATTGATAATAGAAGATAAGAAAATTAACGTCTTAAAACAAATTCCATGGCAAGTGAGACAGAGAAGAAAGGAATATTCCTCTCTGGCACAGCTACTCCAACAAAATGGAATCTCATATAGATGGCTAACACCAGAAGGTTTATTCTTTCGGATTGACCGACAGAGATATAATATAACATACTCGATGAAAGAACAAGATTTTATGGAAAAAACGAGAAGAATTGGAAAATACCCAGTGATGGAGAGAAGGAGAAGAAACCAGAAGAAAGACCTCGAGAGAAGCCAACACAATTACGACAACCAGAATCAGACACTGAATCAGGAGAAAAGGAAGCAAGGGAGCCAAGATGTACTAGAAGCATGATGAAGAAAAAGCAAAAGGATAGTAATCTACATCAAGATGTCTAGAAAACAAATGAAGATTTTTTCAGTAAATGTAAATGGCCTAAACTCACCCCAAAAGCGGAAAAAGATCTTTTTACAATTGCAGAAACAGAAATCTGACATTATATGCATCCAAGAAACTCAGGTGAAAAGAAAATACTTGAAACTGTTAGAATGGCCAAGGTTAGGAAAATTATTTGCAACTTCGGACGTGAGTAAAAAGAAGAAAAGTGTAGCTATCTATATTAAGAAAGAATTAGAGCCAAACTTGATTTTTGCATCAGACAACGGAAGGATATTAATGGTGGAAATCCAAAGAGAATCAAAGAAATTGCAAATTGTTAATATTTACGCACCAAATGGAAATCAGGAAAACTTCTTTAAACAACTGCAACCAGAATTTGCAAACAAAGATTATGATTACTACTGTGTAATTGGAGATTTTAATGCCATCTTTGATAAAGAACTTGACACAAAATCAGAAAAAATAAGTAAAAAGAAGAGAAGCACAATTTCAAGAAATTTTTTACAATTGGCAGAAGAAATAAATATTACAGATACGTGGAGAACATGTAATCCAAGGACAAGAGATTACGTATACCTTTTACTCTAACAGACACAAATCATGGTCAAGAATTGATACATGCTGGATATCAACAAGCTTAATGAAAGAATTGGAACAAATA